GCAGTTGCCAATGGTGAAGGGGAATAAAGGGAGACGTCTACGGTCATCCGCCTTTATAACTCCGGATGAACTATCGAGATCCTGCTGGTAATATCATCACCATCAGAGACAGCAACACCAGTGTTTACACTGGTGCTCTACTGACGTACAACCGTAAAGCTAATCTAATTATATTTAAACTTTTGGAGTGGGAAGTGAAAAACTGTGGGTGAGAAAGGTATTGTGATCGGTAGTGCAGCTCCGCATAGGTCCCTCGGCTTCCTGCTCCACCCTCTGTGATAAGGTTTCAGTATATAGTTTCAGTCAGCCGGGGACAAAGGGAAATTAAATGGTAGTCACAATGTGTTCCACAATGTCGTGCTAGGATCTCCGTGAAGAGGCGAGATGTGTCGAGTCAAATATGCTCGATCTGCGTTGGCTGGCATTCTGACCAATCAGGACACGTCTTCATTTGGTCCGTGTCCTTCAGGTGACATCCGTCCAAGTGATGTGATGTTCGGTTATTAGGAACGGCTGGTCTCGGGGGACCTCCACCTTGAGAAGGCTGTTCAACCGACCGCTGCTTTCGACTTCACTGTGACGAATCATGGAGGTGCTGCCGCTTTTCGCTCCATCTCTATGGCTGCGAGAGTCCTAGCCTGGGATCTGGTACCTTTCACTTCGGAGGTATATCAAGGCTGTCCGATGTCCAATGTGACGTGATCCCCTTTGGCAGCTTGAGGCTGTTGTCTGAAGTTGGTTTCCCTGACGTCGCCGGGTTTGTGATCTTATTTTTGCCTCGTATTTACCATGTTTGACCCCGCGCCGCTGTAGAGACCATTCCCCATATCGCCAAATTAGTGTTAGGCCTCTGTGTTGCTGTTGGAGCATCACTACTACCGGCCCCTTTTCTTAGCCTTCCAGATAGCAGTAGAACGACCCGCATGAATCTGGAACTGTAAACTGAAGGGTTCGGACAGCGAGTAATACGTTGCAGGTTGCTTTCAAGATTCACCAGTTTGGACTAAAGAGATGGAGCTACCGGTGCCGGGCGCCAGGAGTTGAATAGTGGCGTACGCTCCTTCTGGTCTCCGGTTTGGGTGTAACTGTGGCAACCACAAAACCGTCAGGACGTGGTGTTCTCGTTAACCTATTGAAGCCATTTGCAAAGTTTTTTCGTTACAAACGGAGTTGAACAGTTTAAGCTGAATAATACAACCCAGGCCCAAGAAGTCAAGGCCTGTTAATTCGTACCATTGAGATGAAGCTTCTTGAACGTTACGGAACGGTCGACCTTCCCGGTCATTTTGAGCGTTCTAAAAGATGCATTACGAACAATGCACTTTGTATATTCCACTGGTGGCCTTCCGATTACGTCCCAAGATAGTGTCGAAATCAGAGGGCAGAACCAGTATCAAGTCGGAGGGTAACCGGTGTACCATTGATACATACTGTGATGAACTTACGTCGACCAGGTGATTTCATCCTGAATGTAGCGGTCATGGCCGATGCCTGCGTCCTTTTATCGGGTCGTTGTTTGCGCGAGCTCCTGAAGTTGTCCATGCAGCATTCTTCCTTGTGCAACTTTCGATCGCGCTTAATACATCTGTGGCTCCAGCGGGGAGAGTGGCGTGAATAATGCCATTCTTCACAAAGCCAGCATGGCGTAGGCGGTTTTCTTGGAGTCCGCTAAGAATGAGATTTCCCTTTGGAAAATTTGGAATCGCCAATCATTGCAGCATCAGCCTTGAGATTGATAGGGTGCTGGCCTTCGAATGTAAGTTTCTGAATCGTCAACTCTGGATCCTCTTTAATTCAATTAACAACCGAGTCTAAATATCTACATCGTGTGGCGACTGGAGACCAGCCACGTAGATGACACAATTGAATCGATCCTCGGTCATGGTGCTGAGCTGAAAGCGCTGGCATTCTCTGATGACCACAATGGCATAGGTGATGGTATCATTAGTATCCCTCTTGGTAATCTTGAGAAATTGATAACGATTAATGAAGAAGGAACTTTGCTCACCGAATATTAGGGCCAGGATTTTGATAGCATCTGCGAAACCAAGGTCACGAGGGAGTTTGGTAAATATGAAATTTGTGAACCAATCGTTCCAGCTGTCCCCAGTTTCCACTGCAACGTTCGAACTTTCCATGCATCATCAAACTGAGAAAAGTCAGTTTGAAACATGCCTTCGTTTTTCTTGAATCCACTTTCGAAAGTTTGTCCAGATTCAGCATCGAAATTGAATTCAGTAATCGAGCTCAAGCGGAGGAGGCTCGATCGTTTTTGTTGCATCCGCCGACGTTGTGAGCATCAGAGATCCGAGAAGCCTCATCTTAGCTTCTTAGAACGGCTTCTTTTGTTGTTGTAAAATTAATTGTAGTTGCTCTGCCAAGATTGACGTTGTGGGTTCGGGTTGTCCCTAGTTGTTGCGTCTTGCTGGACCATCGTGCAAGTATGTCGGTCCCTTGGCTTCCTGCTCCGCCCACTGTGGTATATCAAAAGGTATGGTAGCTTCACACAGCCCCTTTATGGAGACAAAGGAAAATTATCCCAACTGTATTTATAGGGTAATCACAATGTGTTCCACAAGGTCGCGCTAGAATCTCCGTGAGGAGGCGAGATATGTCGAATCAACGGTGCTCGATCTGCATTGGCTGGCATTATGACCAATCAGGGCATGCCTTCGCTTGGTCCGTGTCATGCACGTGACAAATCCGTCCAAGTGATGTGAAGCTCGGTTATTAGGAATGGCTGGCCTCCGGAATGAAGGGGACTTGATTCTGGCTTATGTCAAGCATTCTGAGGTGCCTACACCTCGCAGCGCTCAATCGGACAATCGGGCAAGGAACTGACAGCACGGATCGACCGCTGTTTGTTGCAACGGCTCCAGCCAAGCACAGCAGGGGTCACAGGAACCACATCATGGAGGACGTAATTTCTTTCACACCCTTCTGTCAAGTCATACGTTGCACAACCTCCTTTCCAGCCAGTCCACCAGAACTCGCCTAGGTAAACGAATTTATCTATCACGTCGATTAGCTCACCTACAAGCATGAGGTGTCGGTTTGATCCAACCCAACCTTGTAGCAGCTCTATTTAGCCTGCAGGTGTGAAGCGCATGCCAAACCTTGCGGCAGAATTGCTTAGGTTATTTAAAATCATTTACGTTTGGGATGGATCCTAACCAATATCGTCTGCGCACTCAATGGCTATGAAGGGACGTCCAGGGAGCTTTTCGGCTCCCGGGGTTTCAGAAGGAGACAGGAAGATTTCAATCAGCATATCAGTAACAAAGTTGAAGAGGAAAAGTGTGAGAGGACAGTCTTGTCCTACACCATTGGACGTGGTGAACTTCTGCGAAATCATACAGTGCTCTCATGAGGGATGGAAATTCGAAAGGGACAACTTTGATCTCCAGACACTGTCAGAGTTTCTGACGGCCGACAAAATCGGAAGCAGCTTTCACATAACGAAGAAAGAGCAACGTGGGACGATAATCCCCGATAATCCACCAATCTGAGCAACATAATGTCAGAGTGCATCTTAGAGGTGACGGATATCGGGCTAATACTATGCTGGTTTTTACATGAAGTTCTTGCGCCCTTTTTAAAAACTGGGATAACGGTCGGAGAGCTCCATTCGACTGGTATTATCTTTTCCTTCCAAATCTTTTGGCTTTCAGACTTTACCAGAGCCTTGTCACCTTTGAAGAGCGCGGGATGCAGACCGTCTGGTTCAGGTGCCTTGGCGCGCTTCAGAGTTCATACATCACGATGGATTTCGGATGCTGACGGCGGGTTGGTGTCAGTTTCCATTCGGGTTTGCTTGGTTCCTCCAACATTTGTGTTGAAGGAGACCAGCCGAGCTGCTCTTTTAAGTGCTCAGACCACCGCTCAAGACGACGTTTGATGGAGTGAATTGCTGTTCCGTTTTTTTTCGCACATCGTTTCAATGACACCTGCTTTCTTTTAACCGACTGGTCGAATCACTTGAAACAGCACTGCTGTTGCCTGCAGCGAAAGCCTTCTCCATCTTCTGGGCTTTCGAAACCCACTGGCGTTCTCTATCGTTCTTTAAGCTCCCGATCATCCGTTTGAATGGTCTGCGTTCGCCATCATCATTTCTGGTATGGCTTTTCTAATCTGTTGATCTCAAGGATATCCAGTGTTCATTAAGTCGTGTCAGGTGGTCTGGACAAACAGTTCTGAAAGCTGAGAGCATAGCTTTAACCCGTTTCCATTCATCCTCCAAGCAATCTTCGTCATTTTCATGGCTTTGCGTTTTCAGTAGCTTTCTAGCCGGACCAGCTCGATGCTCTTCACATAGTGAAGCTTGACGAAGTAATGAATGGAGCTGCTCTCTTGTGGCATGCGTACTGCTGGCGGAAAGCTAAGTGCTAACCTGGCCCGCACGATGGCGTGATCAGAGTAAAGTTTCATACCCCATAAGTTAAGATAATCCTTAACTGAGACTCTCTATCAGTAACTGGTAGCCACATGGTCCAATTGAGTCAGTATTGAGAGTATTGTTAGTTGTGTAGGTCATGGTTGAACGAGGGCTGGGATACTGCCAGGGCGCCCACACATAGACAGGAGGACGATTAGGGTCCTCAACCAAAGCCTTTGGCTCAAAAGCCTAACCGCAAGGCAGCGGTGTTTGGCGGGGAAATGCAAATGCACTACCTTTTCTACGGAACAAGTCGCCATACATGTTCCAACCCTCAACCTGGAGGGCCAGGAGACTGTGTTCGTCAGACCTCTAACCATTGACCACCTGGTATGAGAGACTGAGTGTCGCGCGGACACCCCCAGTATAGTTCAATGGGTCTCCGAGGTACACAAACCACCACACCACGGTAAGGTCCAGTCTCTTCGTGACAGTTGAGTCCCTGGCTGTATTGTGGTAGGTGTCCTTGATGTGAGCCTTTGTGTTGGACGTTGGTACTAGCCAAGACCAGGCAATGATCTGCACACAACTGAAAAAGCCACTCCCCATTATCCGTGCGCTCTGAATGGACTCCAAATCCGTAACACAACCGTGGTTCTTCCGGATTTGGTCGACCAGCTTGGGCATTCGTATCACCGGCCAGGATTGTTTGCCGACCGGAGCACTCGTGACAGATCCTGATAAAACTCGTCCTTCTCAATTTCAGAACTGTAGTCTGTTCGGGCGTAAGCTGAACATCATAAACAAACACCCTTTACCGCATCAACCTGCATTAATCCTAATTGGGCCAGACAACCGCACAGCGCAAAGGCGACTGTGTACTGGGATCCAGTCCAGTAAGGCGCTTTCAGCCTTGGGGCTGAGTGCTACTCCCACACCGCACATACCACGCGCCATTGCGTCAAAATCACCAGAACAGTGGAGAGTGAATTGTGGAACATCTGAGCTCATCGTAAGCAGCATGAGGTGCACAACCGAAGTGGGGTCTTGTATGTGTATTACGGAGACAACAATCGTTGACAGGGGAAAAGCAAGGTTTCAGCAAGAGAGGCCTGTGGTAGAATGGAGGCATTAAAGTCTGCAAGGTGGATGGAGGTATTACTGTTTCACTCCTAGTGCGGCTGTGCACGGCAGGTACCTTTCGAGCTGCACCACACTCTTTGGTTGTAAAAGTATTCCGAATGTATCGAATAATACGCCGGCGGTCACGGTCAACCGTTTGGCAATCGGAGTGTGCGGTTTTTTGGGCCGATCTCTTCTAACCTGCCATTCCTCGGGGGAAGACTGCATCACTGTTTCTATAAATATGGACATCATCATCATCGACAGCATGACATCAGTGTTCAACACCGATGCTTCACTGCCGTACAACCATGACTTATTTGAAAGCC